TTCTATAGGGTTCTGAATGAATAAAAAAATTACAATGTACACAACTACATTGCAGACTTAACCATAAAGGTATTGCTTAACTCTTTCACTCCCAAGATCTCATTAGTAATTCTCCTTTCTGTCTATCATACAACTCTTATGATGTAAGTTTGAAGAATTTGACATATGATCAACTGATTATGCCCTATTTGATGTTTTTATCTACATTCATCGCTTGTTTGCTTGAAAATGTATTGATATTGAAAGGAGAAATTCTACCTTGGTTCATACTGGGAGTTAAAATTGAGGGTTTTCTCTCTGTACTCCATGACAAAGTTCAAAAGTCTATCATCTTTCTTACAACATATAAGTTCATAACTCTCTACAATGAATGCCCACGATATTGCTGATCCTACTGTACCTGACTATGAAGAATGCCTGGCACATTTGAACAGAGTGCTTTGTATGGCCTGACTCGCTAACGAACCCAGTGGTTGGAGCGATCAAATGCAAAGTGTTATAGTCTGAGGATCGAGTCCTCTCGTAAAACTCAGATCTTTATTTTTGATTGTACCATTGTTGTACCAAATGTACACGCTATCGTCGGACAATTAATAGGTCGATTAATTATTACCCAGAAACCGTTAAAAAGCTGAGCTCTCCAGCCGTTTGCACTTTCATTTCCTCTCTCGCAGTAGTTGGGTTTACGATGCATGTAATCGAATGAAAGTACTATTTTGAACATTAAATGCACGATCAAATTGTGATCTTGTCGCTTTTACAATTAGAATCCCCCATCAAAAAAATTTTACCCACCTCATGAGACCGACCGATTAAGAGCTGTAATAAACCAGCCAGTGTTTCAGTGCATACTGCGTCAAGGCTACCAGCAAGTTAAAGAATAGGTCATGTAACACATCACCAAAATATAACCCAGCGGTAAACAAAAAAGAGCTTTTCTATCATGCAGACACACATCTTGTGTCTTCTAATGTGCTGACAGGTCAGATCTTGTCCGTGGGAAATTTGTTCATGTCAAAAGCTTTGATGAAAATCAAGCATCTGCAGAGCATACCCATCTTGATTTGTGATATTTGTTGTCCACGAGTGGGTAACGACAGAAAACAGTGTCTGTTCGACGAGTCTTTATTTATTTATTTTTTTTTATTATTTATATTGAGGGTGAAATTGGCGACAGAGGTTCCCCAAAATAGATGGCTATCAGTGATTGGCCAAGAAATGGATTGACAATTAATCTGTTGAGAAGAGAATTGTATGACAGCTGCGAAGGAGACTGGGACTATTTTGTAACAAAAAGGTTTACACTCTCTACGCCAGGGTCATTTCGGAACCGCTAAAAAGGAGCCGAAATAACCTTGAGCTCAAGATTGAAAAAACCAAGAGGATAACAAATTATATAGATATAAATGCGTTATTGACCGAGTGAAACATCAAATTGGCAGGATATTGACTCAATGGCGAATTCGCTATTCACAGAAAACGCATGCAAACTTTTTTTCAGGCTCAAACCCTTTAATGAACATACTTAACAGTGGTTTCCCCTATTTCTTTGCGTTACCTAAGAAACGAAAGCTTTTATGAATACCTCAGTAAAAGTTGCCTTGGAAAAACGCGTTAATATTGAGTAAAATCTTTTCCAAACCGAGTATTCTCCGTAATAATCGTTTACCAGATGTAACAAAATGTAAACCACGGCGTCTAATCACTATTTTGACATGATGATAAAAAAAACGCATGTTCTATAACATCAATAAAAGACATTTGGCCTTGAAATTATGTTTCCTATAGACCCTGTCATCGAGCAAGTTAAGAATTTATTGAAACAGGGACACTAATCTGCTTTCCATAAAATACTTCGAACCAGCCGCGCACATGTAAACGGAAGTTCTGCGACTGAATAATGTTAAATACATATTCTGATCTCAACCATTGAATCCGCTTCGTCAAGCGCAAGCGCTTTCGCAGAGAAAGCGTTTTAAAAGGTGTTATTATCATCGTTATTAATATCATCAAAGCTCATCAATTTTTTTGCGATCAAATCGTCTCTTAGCTGCTAAAAAAAGCTACTCCAAAGATACAAAGATTCACTCGTCATGATTCCTTTCATCAGTTCCGTTTACACAAAGTCTCTTTTGAGGAACGTTTCTGGAAGCTGCTATCATGGAAAAATTATCTTACATGTTAAATGTTGAAAAAGGTACTTAATCCTAGATGAAATCACTCAAAAGTATATAAGGGAGCAAATCACTAAGTGAAACAGTCGGGATCGAAATGCACCAATCAGAGCTG